TAGGAGCTTCACGGATTGAGGGCGGGTCTTTTTCAGAATGTGGCTCTCGTCTCAGCGCCGCGCGCATTCGTTTCAACGTTGAAAAGAGCTTCACGGATTGACGACGGGTGGTGTTCAAAGTGTGGCTCTGTTCCCTATAAGCATGTAGCTTTCGCCTTTGGGAGCTCGCAAGGCGTGCGGAACAAATGGGCACGATGGCCCACATGTTGTCCAACACCGACAACGGCCGCTGTGGGGCCAGCGGCCTTCTGTCTCAAATGGACAACGGCTGCGGCGCCGCCGACAACGAATCCTGTTCAAACTGAGAAGGGCGTGCTGCCGGGCTTTGTGCCCATTCTTCTGTGCCGATTTCGATCGTCCCGATCCTTGGGCACCCGACTGATCCGCTTTGGCCCCTCGAGGCGCCCACCCGCAGCTACCCCGAACTGCCCCCAGCCCCGATGCCTCGGGGGGTCGGACGCCCCGCTTGTCCGGGAGGTCTGCGGTAACTTCGGACTGGGCCCCCGCGGCGCATATCTGCAGCTACCCCTGGCCACCCCCCAGCCCTGATGGCTCGGAGCTCTGATCGTTAAAAGTTAACGGATCGACGTCTGCCGTCTTTCGACTCGCGCTGGAGCGGCCGCGAATTGCTCCAACTTTCCCTGGAGATCTCTGAATTTACCTCGATTTACCGGAACTTACCTCGATCTATCTGCGCTTACCTGGATTTACCTGGCTCGATCCCCACAAGTCGATTGGCGATAAGTCGGCAAGCCCTTACTGGGATGACCGTGGGGGGTTCTACGTGGATAGAGGGTTACAAGTGGATGCCAAGGTGGGTTATATCTGGCCGAACCTGGCTTATACGTGGGTTACACGTGCCCCGACTGGCTTAGGGGGGTTAGATAACTCCGCGAAGTGGGCGGAGCCCACTCAGCCTGGATCGTGAACCCCCCTTCAGCCACTCGGGGCACCTTGTGACCCACTTATAAGCCAGGCTCGGCCAGCTATAACCCGCCTTGGCGTCCACTTGTAACCCCCCCTACCCACTTAGAAACCACCCATGGTCATTTGTTTTTTTCATTGCTCGATGGGGTCTGGGGGCGCGCCAGCGCGGCGCGCGCGGCGCGGTTAGCGGTCCGGGCTCAGTGGGCTCCGCCCACTTAGCCGAGTTATCTCAACCCCCTAAGCCACTCGGGGCACCTGTAACCCACTGATGAGCCAGGTTCGGCCAGATAGAACCCGCCTTGACATCCACTTGTAACCCCCCTATCCACTTAGATGAAGGGGCCCCAGGACACACAAATAAATACACACAAATAAAAATATTCCCCATATTTTCCAATATTTTCGGGGTTTTCGTCGTCCCCCCCACTGCCCATCTTTTCCCATATTTTCTGGGACATCGACGATTAATTGTGTCTGTGTGTTTTTTCTCCTCCTGATTAAATGCCCCCGCTGTCATCCCAGTAGGGATCCGAAACCCTCCCTTCCCTCCGGGCCCGTCGCCGCGGCCGGCCCCCCCTCGGCGGGCCGCCGCCGCGCCGGCGCCGGGCTCCCTGCTGCCCCCCCTCCCCCTGACCTTCCAGGAGGGCTGAAAAATAGCACCCGACTTAAAAACCAATCCCAAAGCTATTCTACGTCTTGGTTTTAGGCTGTTTCGCTCAGTTCTTTAGGTTTTTAGGCCTCCAGTAGTAGAAAATAGCTCTCTGGAAGGTCAGGGCCTCCCTCCGGTGCCGTCGGGCGGGTTCCCGACCTCCCTGGCTCGGCACCGAGTTTCGAGAATGGACAATGCACGAATCGACGTGTCATGGTGGGGGTTCTGTCCACCCCCGAGAGTTGGTCGGGTGAGCGTTTTCTGATGCGGCGATGCGGCATTGGGCGGAAGGAGGGGGGGAGGGGGGGGGAGGTCTGGCTCTGGACCTCTGCTCAGGGCGACTGTCGGCGACAGGGCGTCCATTATGGGGGAGGCTCCACCTGCTGGAAACAGGCGCCCAAAACAGCCAAGATCTACTCCATGAGCAGGGGGGAGGGGGGGGTGCGAGGGCCCGCGCCGATCGGCAAAACACTGAATTAAAAACGATCACCAAATTGGGTTGGTGTTTCGATTCATTTTTGGGACTCGTCCCATAATTTTCGACTCCGGCTGGGAATGTCGGGGGCTGCTAACCCAGGTCAATCAGGCCCGGGTCAGCAGGAAACCCAAAAACTGCAATGCAAGAACAACAAATCTGCATACAGGGCTACGCAAACCTGGGTCAGCCAATAGGCGCGGCCGCCTCGCGGCCACGAGCAGCTCGCTGACCCGGGTCAGCCAGAAGGGGGTCTTCGCAGGATCCTGCAGGATCCGGTGCCCTAGCTGACCCCCGTTTGCACTGACCCCCGTCTGTTGAGCCCCGACTCGTCCCATAGTTTTCGGCTCCGGCTGGGAGTGGTCTATTCGGCGATCCTTGGCCGGTTTGTCCTCGCCTTCCACCGTGCTGTCCTCGGCGCCGATCGGCAAAACAATGCATAAAGAAACGATCGCCAGGTTGGGTTGGTGTTTCGATTCACTTTTGGGACTCTTCCCATGGTTTTCGACTCCGGCTGGGACTCGTCCCCTAGTTTTCGGCTCCGGCTGGGAGTGGTCTTCGGCGACCCTTGGCTGGTTTTAACTCGGGCGTGTCCCCCTACAGGGGGATTTTGGGCGAAAAATGAAAAATACTACAAAAATACCCCCCAAATATTCAAAAATGAAAAAAATCGTCCCCTGACTTTTTTTGTGACTATTTTTGAATACTCCTCCTGTAGAGGGACAGGCCCGACTTCAGGCTGGCTTGTTCCTCGCCGTCCGCTGTGCTTTCCTCGGCCTTCGGCCGAGGGTGTGCAGGCTCGTGGCGGCCTGTCGCCCTCTGCTGCAGCGAGGCTCCCGACCGCTGGGGATGGGTCGGGCACGTCCTCCTGCAGGGACCAAAAGGGCAACAGAGTCCAAAGATGTTCAAGCATAGACAAAAATCACCAGGGAATCGTCATCAGACTGCTTTTTGCCTATTTTCGGATGCTCCTCCTGTCCGAGACATAGGTCTTCTCTCCTCTGCGTCCCTCTCCTTGACGAGCCAGGGGGCGCCGATGCGGCCACGATGTCCCCTTATGAGAGGATGGCCAGTGCACGAACCGTCTTCTTCTTCCCTGCTGCAGGTCTTCTCCCCGCACGCGCCCGTCTTAAGCTGCGCGGAAGTGAAACGAAGGGAGGGAGGGAGGATGTGGGGGAGGAGGGAGGGAGCGAGGAGAAAGGCAGGAGGAGGAGGACGAGGAGGAGAAGGAGGGAGGGAGGAGGGAGGGAGGGAGGGAGGGAGGGAGGAGGACGAGGATGAGGAGGACGAGGGAGGAGGAGGAGGAGGAGGAGGAGGAGGAGGAGGAGGAGGAGGAGGAGGGAGGAGGAGGAGGAGAGGAGGAGAGGAGGGAGGGATGGAGGGAGGGAGGGGAGGGGAGGGACGGAGGCGGGCTCCCGACCCCTAGGAGGGGGTCGGGAAGACGTCAGGCTCGCGTTCGGGGATTTCGGATCGGCCTGACGGGTTATGTTGCTCCCATCGTACTTAGGACAACATCCTAGAGATAATTTCGGGCACCTAGAAAAGTGTCGAAACAGTGTCGAACGAGTGTCGCCTCCCAGGGCCCGACACGTGAGAATCCTCACGTTTCGGTACTTTCTGGGTGCTCGAAATTCTTCCTGGTGGTCAAGACTAGAAGGTTGGAACGTCATAACTGATGGGGGGCGTCAGGAGAATGACGAGACCCGATCTGAAATCTGACGCGCACTCCCGCTGTAAACATCCTACGAGAAACCGGACCGGCAAACTCCAGGACGGCCCCGTGCAAGAGAGCGTCAGCAGGCCCGAGTTCCAGCGGACGAGGCATGGGCAGTGCGCGATTATCGTTAGGTCGGGCATGTCCCCCTACAGGCGGGCTTCGGACGAAAGTAGAAAATAGTCAACAAATACTGAGAAATAGCCATACAAGGTAGAAACATCGTCCCCACATTATCTTTTGGGGGTTGTTGAATATTCCTCTTGTAGAGGGACGGGCTTCTCGTCCCGAGTGTTTTTTTGACGGCCCCGAGGCCTGTTAAGGGCCCCCACTGGGATGACCGTGCGGGTTTCTAAGTGGGCAGGGGGGTCACAAGTGGATGCTAAGGTGGGTTTTGTCTGGCCCAACCTGGCTTACAAATGGCTTAGGTTTGTTACCGATCCGGGCTCAGTGGGCTCGGCCCACTTAGCCGAGTTATCTCAACCCCCTAAGCCACTCGGGGAATGTGTAACCTACTTATGAGCCAGGTTGGGCCAGACATAACCCACCTTAGCATCCACTTGTAACCCCCCCTACCCATTTAGAAACCACCCAGGGTCATCTGTTTCGTTTCATTGCTCGATGGGGTCTGGGGTCGCGCCAGCGCGGCGCGAGCCCGCCCCCGAGGAGGAGGCAGAGGAGGAGAAGGAGGAGGAGGCGGAGACGGAGGAGGAGACGGAGAAGAAGGAGGAGGAGGAGGCGACGGAGGAGGAGGAGGAGGAGGAGGAGGAGGAGGAGGAGGAGACGGAGGAGGAGGAGGAGGAGGAGGAGGAGAAGACGGAGGAGGAGGAGGAGGAGGAGGAGGAGGAGGAGGAGGAGGAGGAGGATGGAGGAGGAGGAGGAGGAGGAGGAGGAGGAGTGCACGTACCAGGGAGGAGGAGGAGGAGGAGGAGGAGGAGGAGGAGGAGGAGGAGGAGGAGGAGGCGGAGGAGGCGGAGGAGGCGGAGGCGGAGGAGGAGGAGGCGACGGAAGAGGAGGATGAGGATGAGGAGGAGGAGAAGGAGGAGGAGAGGAGGAGGAGGAGGCGGAGGCGGAGGCGGAGGCGGAGGAGGAGGGGAGGAGGAGGAGGAGGAGGAGGAGGAGGAGGAGGAGGAGGAGGACGAGGAGGAGGAGGGGGAGGAGGCGGAGGCGGAGGCGGAGGAGGCGGCGGAGGAGGAGGCGGAGGAGGCGGCGGGGGTGGCCGAGAGCGCGGGAGCGGTCCTCTTGCCGGCCTCGCCGACGGCGAAGAGCCCGCCGCGCCAGCGGTGCGCGCCCTGCGCAGGGTTCGCCGGGCCCCCGCGCGGCGAGCGACGAGGCGGCAGGGCTCGGCCCAAGGGCAGGCCTCGTCAAGACCAGGGGGCCCCCAAGTCGGAGGGGGGCCCCATCTTACGATGCTCCATCCTCATGTAGTTGGCGGCGCGCGCAAAGGGGGTGGAGGGAGGGGGGAGGGTTTCATAGGAGGCTGCCTCTTAGAAGGCGCCGGCCTCACATCTACAGAGAAGGCCCGCGCCTTCGAAGAAGCAGGGGTGCTTCTAAAGTGCCCTCCCCCCTCCCCCCCACCCCCTCTGCGCGTGGCTGATGTAGCCTTGGCCACCAGGAAGAATGTCGAGAACACCAAAAGGAATACCGAAACAGGGGGGGGTCACGTGTCGGGCCCTGGGGGGCGGAGCTGGTTCGACACTGCTTCGATAGTTTGCTGGGTGCTCGAAAGTATATCTGGGATGTGGTCCTTGCGTACGATGGGAGCAACGCAAGCCCAATCGAGACCACGGCTGCCCTCCCCGCTGGCCTTCGCGCCTTCTGGGCCTCCAAGGAGCTTCTTTCGCCACCGCGACCGGATGCGCCCAGGAAGAAGAGCGGGTCGGGCGGGATACTGGGATGATCGTGGGGGTTTCTAAGTGGATAGTGGGGTTTCAAGTGGACGCCAAGGTGGTTTATATCTGGCCCAACCTCGCTTATAAGTGGGTTACAAGCGCCTTAAGCAGCTTAGGGGGGTTAGCGGTCCAGGCTCAGTGGGCTCCGCCCACTTAGCCGAGTTATCTCGACCCCCTAAGCCACTCGGGGCACCTGTAACCCACTGATGAGCCAGGTTGGGCCAGGTATAACCCACCTTGGCCTCCACTTGTAACCCCCCCATACCCACTTAGAAACCACCCATGGTCATCTGTTTTGTTTCATTGCTCGATGGGGTCTGGGGGCGCGCCAGCGCGGCGCGAGCCCGCCCCCGAGGATGAGGCAGAGGAGGAGGAGGAGAAGGAGGAGGCGGAGGCGGAGACGGAGGAGGAGACGGAGGAGGAGGAGGAGGAGGAGGAGGAGGAGGAGGAGGAGGAAGAGACGGAGACGGAGGAGGAGGAGACGGAGGAGGAGGCGGAGGAGGCGTCCACTTGTAACCCCCCTGTCCACTTAGAAGCCCCCCACGGTCATCCCCGTACCCCCCCGGACCGCGGCCCTCCCCTGCGCTCGTCGTGCGGTCTGGGCTCCCCAGAGGCGCCTCGTCGCCACGGCCGGAGAGCTGCCCCGAGGGGCGGGTCGGGATGGGCCCCAGGCGGGGGGTCCCGGCACTGCCTCTCTCGGGCGTTGGCAGAACTGGGTTTGGTGGAACCTGGTTTAGTGATTTGTACCGGGGGCGCCCCCCCCGCCCCACTTCCACTAACCGGAACTGCCGTCACCCGAAAAAACGCGAGCTGCGGCAGACCTGGTTTAGTGATTCTGGCCAATTTAGGGGCTCCGGGGCCCTACCACTAACTGGGTCCCCTTACCCGGGGTCCTGGCCATACCCGACTTTTGAGCAGGGCTGAACCTAAACGGTGCTTTTCGTTTTCGTTTTGTTTTCGTTTTCCCTCGCGTCGGTCTTGAATCCGCCTTTGCCGCACAGTGAGGTCGAAACGAAAAACGGCCCACGAAACCACCAGAAACACCGTTTAGGTTCGGCCCTGTTTTTGATTGAGAGCCGCCGTCGCTTCCCCCTCCAAAAAAGACGTGCGCGCCCAGCCACGTGCGCGAACATGCCCTCCAGTTCCTGGCCATCGCTCGGACGTCCATTTCCCGTGCGTTTCTTGGTTTCGTGCGTGGCTTTCTCGCCAAATGATCAAGGATGTTCCTCGATGGTCCTCGCCGAAGGAAAAATGCACACGTCCGAGCGATGCCAAGGTTCCCGAGGCCGCGCTCAGGGCACGAGTGCTCGCGCAGGTCGCCGTCTCGGGGCCCCACGCGAGCCCATATTGCGCGCACGCCTCCGCGTCGCTCCCGCAAGACATAGCCAGCACATTAGGTCGGGCACGTCCCCCCACAGGCGGATTTTGGAGGAAAACGGCTCAAACATACACCAAAATAGTAAAACAAAAAAAACATCCCCAGACTATTTTTTGACTATTCTCGAATTTCCCCCCAGTAGCGGAAGAGGCCCGACTCAAATCTAGCAGCAACCGGGCGAACGAGAGGGCGCCGAGCGTGCGAGCCGCGCGGGCGCGGCCGCGTGCCCCGAGGGCTCAGCGAGGACTGGCCGGCCTGCCTTGTCAGAAGTGGGGCCCGCCAACTCTTGGAAGCTGGGCGAGGGCTGGCAAATCCGTGGCTGCTAAACTGCGAGGCGGAAATGTATCCAGATCCACCGCCTGGGAACCGACGTCCTAGTGCCCCAGCGGGCGGTGGATATGGATATATTTCGGCCCCCGGGGGCCCGCAGATGTGCATATCCACCGCCTGCCGAGGCTCCGAAAACTGACCCTCCAAGCGGTGGTCATGTATAAATTCCCGCCTCGGATAAACCGACGACTTCCCGGAATCAAGCTCAACACACAAAACAGGACACGGGCTGCCTCCCGGAAGACAAGAAACAATCTCCCGGAGCTCCGTTTTGGCGGCCACGGGTTTGCCAGCCTTCGCCCGGCGTCTGAAACTCTGCGCCTGGAGGGAGCCAGTCGTAGACTGGCTGCGGCAAGAGCTGCGATGAGGGGGCCCAGCGCCAAAGGCAGACGCGCAGCGGGATAATCATCAAGCCTTCGAACAGGCATCCCCGAACACCCAGTCGGCCATCGACTACGTGATCCCTGCGCGAAAAAGCTCACTGCTGGTCTCAGTCTCCATTGTCTGGGGGGTGCTGTGAAACGCCCGCTTTGCGGCTGACAGCTGCAGGCAGCCTGGGACATCCACGCCAACGACGAAAACTCTTTGACCCTTGTTCTCTACCCCCTCCTCCTCCATCCCTCCCTCCTCCTCTCTCCCCCTCCGCCTCCTCCCGCCTGCTGCTCCGCCTCCTTTCACCTTCCCCTCCTCCGACAACCTCATCATCCTCCCACCTCCCCCACCCCCACCTCCTCATGCACCCTCCCTCTCCCTGCTTCTCCTTCCACCTCCGCCTCCATCTCCATTCCTTATAGATCATTCCTCCCTGTCGCGCCACCCGGCGTGTCCGTGAGGCAGGCCCGGCGTTTCGAATGAGACTGCGTGTCGTTCTCCTGACTGAGAGCGTCCAGTAGCTACACGGACGGACGTGGCTCGTCTCTACAATGTGGCTCTTGCTCTGGCGCCGCGCGCCTTTGTCTTGAAAACCTCCAGCACTGACAACGATGGGTGGCCGGTCGTTTCAAAACTGCGGCTCCCGCCTAAGCGCCGCACGCGTTTGTCTTAAACACTTCCGGCGTATGAAAAACTGATGAGCGGTGGTTTTCAGATTGCGGCTCGCGCCCGAGCGCCGCACACATTCGTCTTGAACACTTCCAGCTCTTGCACCGATGGAGGGCGGGCGGATACATACATATGGCTCTCGAGCTCGCGGCCGCGCAATCTCGCTACACACAATTTCCCAACACACGGATAGAAACTGGTACGTTTTTCAACACGGGGGTCTCGCCTGAGACGTACTCAAACATCTACCGCAAGCGCAGCAATGTGCAACCGTTGCAGGGATGGGGGGGCGGTTCCCTTTCAAAAGGGGGCTCTCGCCAGAGAAGGTCTTAGGAGCTGGTGTCCAGAAGGTAAGCATTGTGCAGGGGCTAGGTAGAATTAGGTCGGGCAGGCCCCCCTAGAGGCGGATTCTGGACAAATAAAAAAGACTCAAACAAAAACTCCCAAACTGGCAAACATAGTCAAAACATCGTCCCCTGACTATTTTCGTGGACTACCTTCGGATACTCCTCCTCAGACGGCGAGCGAGGGGGGGAAGTGAGAAGGGGCGGTCCTTCCCAGCAAGCTCGGAAGTCCCCGGGCCTTCCGAGAAGTGTTCCAAGCCTTCCCCGAAGACACAGAACTGAAGGGGCCCCAGGACACACAAGTAAATACACACAAATAAACAGATTCCCCTAGATTTTCCTATATTTTCTGAGTTTCTGTCTTCCCCCCACTGCCCATATTTTCCCATATTTTCTGGGGAATCGACGATGAATTGTGTCTGTGTGTGTTTTTTTCCCCTCCTGAAAGACACAGAACACTTCCCAAAAGGCGCGAGGGCTTCCGAGAAGTCCCGCCCTCCCCCCGCGTTGGCGCGCTCCCCCGCGCCGCTCCCCCCCCGCCCCGGCTGCGCGCGCGCGCCGTCGTGAGCCGCACGAGCACCTCCCGCAGCGGCAGCCAGTCCGCCTGCGGATCCAGGCGGCGGGTCTTTGGGGGGGGGTGGGGCGGAGGGGGGGGGGGGGGGCACCCTCCCGCGCGCGAGAGAGAGAGAGAGCGATAGCGTAAGCACGGGAGATCGATACATATATACATATATATATATATACACATACGATCACATACACACTGACTGGGTACATACGGAGTGCGAGGGGCGCATTACAGAAACGCCTACATACACATCGCCGCTGGCGGCGCTCCCATCGCCCCACCTCGCGCAATCCGCGCGCCAGGGACGGGGGTCCAACGCCGATCCAAGAATTCCGCGCGGGCCTCCGAAGCTTATGCGTACGTTTGTCTGTTTGGTCGGAAGAGGAGGCGGGGACCTGGGGATGGCACAATGGTGTTCGAGCCCCCCGGGTCCCCACGGGCCTGCATGTGGGAGGAGTAGGGCGAGGAGGAGGAGGAGGAAGCAGGAGGAGGAGGAGGAGCGAGCAGGAGGAGGAGGAGGAGCGAGCAGGAGGAGGAGGAGGAGGAGGAGGAGGAGGAGGAGGAGGAGGAGGAGGAGGAGGACGGTGAGAAGGAGGAGGAGTTGCGAGTTGAAATCCGCGCGGAGCGCCAGAAGTTTACGCTCACGGCGTTTTCCTCCCTCGACTGCGGGCCTGCGTCCTGCCCGGGCGCAGCAGCAAGTCGCGGGGGCCCGGCCCGGACCCACGTCCCTCGAGGCTGGCACCAGGTCGGGCACGTCCTCTTACGGGCGGATTTGGGAAGAAACTAACAAGCAGTCAGCAACATCAAAAGTGGCGAGAGAACAGTCGAACAATCGTCCCCAGACTATCTGAGCATCTTCTCAGGGTGGATGGCTCGGGGTGAAATCCATATGGGCTTTTGCACCTCGAAAATCAGTCCGTATTGCGATTCACCTTCTGCAGATTCGAACCTCGAAGATCAATCGAAACGGCATTTCAGATTTCACCCTTTGCCCTCCACCCAGAAATAACATGCTCGGTATCTGTTCGACCATCCCTGAACGCTCCCCTGTAGAGGGACGCGCCCGACTCAAGGCTGGCACGGGGAGGCCGGCGCCTGCAGCGCGGCCAGCTTCGCCTCGGTCTCCCGCCGCTCGCGCGAGGCGGCCTCCCAGGCCTCGCGGAGGGCCTGCGTGGCGCCGTCGTCGTGGGCGTCGTGGTGGTGCTCTTCGTCAGGCCGCCGTCAGCGGCGGCGTCGGCGTCGGCAGCGGCATCGGCGGCGTCGGCTGCACCGGAGTAGTCGCTGTCGGCGTCGTCGGCTTCGGCTTCGTCGGCGTGGTCGTCGCAGCCGTCGTCGCCGCCGCCAACGTCGACGCCCACAAACCTCCGCCACTGGTCAGGGGAGGGGGAGATGAGGCAAGAGGAGAAGGCGGGGGGAGGAGGGACTTTGCTATGGCTTCGATCGGGGCACGCGCAGATAGCCCACCCAGGTACGTAGTCCTGGCGGGCCTCACCAGGCCCCCCGAGCAGCTCCAGGTGGCCTCAGCAGGCCCCCCGAGAGAAGTCCGGGGCGGCCTCAAGACCCCGGCAGTGCCTCCGGCGGCGCCCCTGCTGCGCTCCGCGCTCCCAAGGCCGGGGTGCGGAGGCCGCCTCGGGCTTCTCGGGGGGGGGGGGCCTGGTGAGGCCAGCCAGGACCGCCCAGGGAGGGGGGCTGCCTCTGCGCGGCCCGAAGCCTCAGGCGAGGGACTTTGGGGGGCGGCGGGCCTGTGGGGGGAGTGAGAGGGGGCGGGCCGTCCGAGAGCGCTCGGAAACCTCCCAGCCTTCCCAGCAGTTTTCGAGGCCTTCCGCGAAGGCGCAGAGCACTTCTCAGGAGGCGCGGGGGCTTCCGAGAAGTCACGCGGCCTCCTGAGAGGGCCTTCTCCTTCTTTCTGCTGCTCTTCCTTTCTTCGGCGCGGCGCAGGCTGCCTAGACTACCGCCGCGATATACCTGTGCGTGAAGGGCACGGGCTACTTCCTTCGAAGCCCCGTCGAGCGCTCTGGCTTCTGCTGCAGACATGCCGCAGGGCGGGTGCAGAAGCGTGCCCTGGACCATCAAGGGCCCTCTCCTCCCCGTCCTCGCCGCCCCAACCCTCTCGCCGTTTGGCAGGAGCACCAGGGGCTGTGGGGTGCTCTCCATCTTCGGACCGAGAGCGCTGGGATCCGAGCGGCGTCTGTCCCCGCCTCGGGCCAGCGCAAACATGGATCAAGGAGGGTGGATTAGCGACGGGTCCCGTTTCCATGGTATTTTGCGGACTCCCACCGCCGAACGGGGCGGCACCGGCCGCATTCCGGGGAAAGCACCTCCAAGTGGTCCATGGACTTGGCGACCGCGCGCCAAATCCATGGATCGCCAATCCGTGCTTGCGCGCCCCCGGCCTGAGCAGTTCCTTAGGGTGGATGGCTCAGGGTGAAATCCATACGGACTTTTGCACCTCGAAGATCAATCCGTCTTCAAGGGCTCCCAACTTCTCGCTTCGCGCTGCGCGAAACGCGAAGTGCGAATAACTTCGCGCTCTCGCGCCGCCTCCCAGGGGGGAAGAGGAGGAGGAGGAGGAGAAATCGGAGCCGAACCACGAAGCGCGAGTAACTTCGCGCCCTCGAGGGCGCCCCTAGAGGCCTCCTAGATGGGGTCCGAGTAGATGGGGTCGGAGGATCTCGCCGCATCGCCGATACATCGGCGATGCATCGCCGATGCATCCGCGATGCACTTGCGACGTCGGCGGTGCATCGGCGACGTCGGCGTGGAGAAAACTGGGCCCCACATCGAACCCGCATCGCCGATGCATCGCCGATGCATCGGCGATGCGGCGCGATCCTCCGACCCCATCTGCTCCGACCCCATCTAGGAGGCCTAGAGCCCCTGCATCGAAACGGCATGTTAGATTTCACCCTTTGCCCTCCGCCCCCCCCAAAAATGGTCGGCCGACCTCCGCCTCCCCCGCACATCCGTGCCTGCCCCCAAAGACGTTCCCGGGCGCTCCTCTCGCTCGCTCGCCGCCGAGCGCTGGGGGGGCCCTCCGGGCGCCACGGCGGGACTCGGCCCAGGGATTCGGGTCGGGCCTCGTCCCCCTACGGGGGGCTTCCTGACGAAAGACACAAGCATAGCCAAACACAGATTCCAGACAGAGTCCAAGTGCGGCACAACAAAATCGCCCCCCCCCCCCAGAGTATTTTTGGACCATCTCCTGCCTAGTCCCCCTGCAGAGGGGCAGGCCCGGCCCAAGCCCCAAGGGCCCCCCCGGCCACCGCGCGCTCCAGGAGGAGGAGGAGGAGGAGGAGGAGGAGGAGGAGGAAGAGGAGGAGGAGGAGGAGGAGGAGGACGAGGAGGAGGAGGAGGAGGAGGAGGAGGAGGAGGAGGAGGCTCAGGGGGGGGGGGGGCGGGCTCCCTGGGGGAGAGGGCGGGGCCCAGCGCCCCCTCGTTCGTCGCCCCCCAGAACGCGGCGCCCCCCTGTGCGCGAGCTTCCACCTGGGGTCAGCTCGGACGTGTCCCCCTACAGGGAGAGTTTGAGCGAAACCTATAACATGCTTCAAACATACTCCCAAATTCCCAAGCATTCTCAACAAAATCGTCCCCGGACTATCTTTTTGATTATTTTTGAGTATCCCCTCCTGTAGAGGGACACGCCCCCAACCTGGGGATGGGTTGAAAGCTGGATTTGGCGACAGCGCGCCAAATCCATGGATCGCTAATCAATGGGAGCGCGCCCCCGAACATCCCCATCCCCAAGATTGGCAAGCCCAATGGCGATGGCAATCTTGTAGACGCGCCACGGAAACAAAAACGTGTGCTCCTTAAGATCGGCGCCGAGATCAAGTGATGCTAGTCTGAGGGATCTGGATCTGCTTCAGGCTATTAGTGTCGGCATATGACTTCTGCCATCCATTTCCTTCTCCCTTCCAGGGGCCTTCGGTACCGCCGCGGCTGGGCGTGGAGCAGAAACAGGGCCAGGATGGTTCTCCGGAGGTGGGCCAGTGGCCAGTTCTGAGCGGCCTCTGGCTGGAGGAAGGAGGGGGAGGAGGAGGACCACGACGGCGAGCAAGAGGTAGGGATGGGGGAGGAGGGGGGACGAGGGAGACGGTGGGGGGAGGAAGGCTTTGGAAGGTTCAGAACAAGCGGTTTTAAAGGGTAGGTGCGGGTTTCTAGAGGGGCTCGAGAGGGATACTTATGTGTATATATACATATATATGTATATATATATATAGAGAGAGAGAGAGAGAGAGAGAGAGAGAGAGAGAGATAGAGAAAACAAAAGAGAGAGAGAGAGAGAGAGAGAGAGAGATAGAGCAAGAGGTGAGGAGGGAGGAGGGACCGTGGATGGAGGAGGATGAGGAGGGAGGAGGGAAGAGGAAAAGGGGACGGAAGAACAGAACAACTGGGAGGAGGGAGTGGATCATGGCTGAGGAATCCTGAGGAGAGGGTGATGGAGCAGGAGGCGTGGGGAGGGAGGGAGGGAGGGAGGGAGGGAGGGAGGGAGGGAGGGAGGGAGGAGCGGGGCATGGGGGCAGCAAGAGGGAGAAAGGACGGCGGGGGGGGGGGGGAGAAAGGTCACGGCGAGGACGGTGAGGAACGCCTCGGAACGTTTCTGCGAGCACAGCGTGCGGGGGAGGAGGAGGGGTCAGACGCCGCTCGGATCCCGGCGCTCTCGATCCGAAGGTGGAGAGCACCCCCGAGCCCCTGCGCCCCCGCCAGACGGCGAGAGGGGGAGGTTGGCGAGGACGGGGAGGAAGATGAGGAGCACCTGGAGGAGCAGCAGTCGGCGGCGAGCGAGGGGGGGAAAACGAAAAGGAGGAGGCCCTCTCAGCTGGCGGCGGGACGTCTCGGAAGCCCTCGCCTCCTGAGAGACTTGCCGTGCCTTCGGGGTAAGCTTAGAAAACTGCTCTGAAGGCCGGGGGACTTCCGAGCCTTCTGAGAAGGCCCGCCTTTCTCACTTCCCCACGGGGATGGAGGCCGAAATAAAAATCGGAACACCAACCAAAATGTTCATTACCGGCTGCGACCCTGATGCTCCGATGGATACCGCATCTCCGATCCTGGCCTCCCATGATTCCTGAGGGGTTCCGCCGTACATCACAATGAAGACTCCGAGTGTATCCAACAGATCGCGCACCACATGTCAGCAGGTCGTCGCACACCGGTCGTCCGACGCAAGCACGCGTCTGACATCCATCTTACTTCGCGATCGATGAGAGGATTACTGCGAATATACAGTTTGCGGCACTGAAGGCGGCGACTTGATGCTTCAGGGCGACCCAGTAGAATAGCAACATCTCGGTTGGAATCCAAAATATCAAATCTGCAATGAACACATCACGAAACTTACAACACATATGTTCAGTGCATTCTGCAACCGTCCAGCCACGCAGGAGGCCAGTAGAATAGAAGAATGATGGATACATGATTACTGGCACAAAAAAACCAGCGTTCCCCGCGGTGCAGAGAAAGGCGGACACAAGCGGCGTGTAGCCTACTGTAATCCTGTGCAGTGAATTGAACCACACATGCTGAGGCCATGCGTAAATTCCACCCCATGCAGAATAAGCCATCAACCGCCTTGTGTCTATCCCGAGTGCGCATTCAGGTGTGGATTTCCCCGCAACCTCGATATGTTGAGCGGCAGCGTCGCCGACGAAGTCTGCTTGCCCCCTCAGAGGCCACCAGGCTGCGAGGCTTTGTCTCCTGCACCCTGCAACAACTCCAGTGCGAAGGTGCCACATGTTATAGGTTATTGCTCCTCGTTCCAAAATTGGACGGTGGAAGGCGCTACCACCCCAGCCAGAACCGCACCCATTTTCACCTCCGGCGAGGGGGTTCTCAGAATTTCGCGGTTTCTCTGTGACACGAACAAATACACCGAGCCCGCGCTCTCAGGGCAGCAATCCCTTGCAGATTACATCGCGCTCGCGCTCCCAAACCCAGAATCCATTCTCAAGTCAGACGCTCACGCCCTCCCGACGCTACAATCCTCAATGACCTGCAACGCGTCTGGGGTCACAGCCCCATGCGAATTGATTACATTGTGCTCGCGCTCCCGAAACCACAACCCTTTGTAATATTCGGCACTTTCAGGCTCCCGAGGCCACTCCGTTAATTGCAACTAGTTTGCATTCCCGGAACCACATCCCATTGAGAATTACATCGCGTTCGCGCAC